GATCCACCAGACCCACGGTCGGATCCTGTTGAGTCGGTGTGTGAACCTTCCGGATCGGAGGAGGAATGCTCTCCAAAGCGGAAACAGGTGGGGCTGGACTCCCAGCCTTCGCCGATCACGGATCAAGCGTATGCCCCGATAGATGACGCGAAGCCGCAAGATGATCGTGCTGGCGATCCAGAGGGGAAGCCAAATCATGTGGATTCCGGTGGTAAAGCAGCTGAGAAAGGCGAAATCGTGTCCCCTCACTTGCCATCGGCCGATCAGATCGACGGTTGTGCCGTCGAACCAGATCTTGGGGGCGGGAGTACCGATCGGACACACCTTTTTGCGGTCTTAGCTGTGGAAGAGTCGAGATCAAGTGACGATACAGCAGTCGACGGTGTGCCTGCATCTAAACGACTGCCGCAAGTGGAGGAAGACTCGTCGATCGTTGGAGGTGATCAGCTGGAAAAAGAAGGCCAAACCCACTTCAAATCGGGACGACCTCATTGCATCCGAACCGGATCGAGATGTTGGCGCTGATGATCAGGTCCATTACCACGAGGGCGGGAATCTGTCAGCAGAAGATGTCGAAGGTGAATTAGCTGTGCTTCCTGAAATTGTGATCTCGACGACAGATGAGGTGAAGATCGACGATATCAAGGTGGGAGATCTGGAGTTCAACACCCCGGAGGAGATCGATCGGCTGCGAAAGAAGATCTGGCACAGGAATCACCTGCTGATCGGCAAGGGCAATGCACTTCCCCCAGCAGCCCGGGGCGTCACCTGCGACATCAACGCGACGCGAAGCCGATCGCTCAACGTGTCCGGAAAGTTGCCCCTCAGTTCGTGGAGAAGGTGTCCGAGCTGATCAAGGGACTATTGTCAGCCAAGATGATTCGGAAATCTCGATCACCGTGGGCCTCGCCGATCGTCGTGATCATCAAGAAGAACGGCGTGGATATCCGACTCTGTATCGACTATCGGCTCATCAACAGTCTAACTAGGCTGATGGTATATCCGATGCCCTTGATCAACGATCTGCTGGAAGATCTGGACAAGGTACTCTGGTATTGCTCTTTGGGCATGGCTAGTGGATTCTGGGTGGTGACAATGACCGATCGAGCTCGTGCGATCTCGGCCTTTATCACCCACATGGGTCTGTTCGAGTGGAACCGGATGCCGTTCGGCTTGAAGAACGCTCCTCAGATCTACCAGCGACTTCGGGACGACGTGTTGTATGGGTTCACTAGGATCCCGCGATCGTCAGACTGTGAAGTCACTACGGACTTGATCGAGTCAGGACAACCAGAAGATCCGGGGCGTCCATCAGTGCTAGGTCGCAGATCGTACATCGATGACATTGTCGTGACGGCCGGATCATGGGATGAGCTGTGCGATCGTGTGGATCACCTGCTGGACGCTTGTGATAAGTGGAACCTCTCGATCAGTGTGGAGAAGAGCTCTTGGGGGATGCGTAAGGTGGACTATCTGGGACATCGTGTGTCGAACGACGGGCTAGAGGCCAATCCGAAAGATCTCACTGCTCTGACTGATCTGCCGTTCCCCGGATCGCTCCGATCGATGCAGTCGTTCTTTGGCAGCCTCAATTATTACAGCCGTTTCTTGGGAGATTACGCGATCTACGCGGCGATCCTGTACGAACTGCGCGAGGTGGATTTCGCCGAGCTGAAGAAACGCCCCGATCTGCGCCAGATCCTAGATCGTCAAGTGCCGAACTTAGTGACTACAGACCCAGTGGATCCCGATCGGACTCCATCAGTTCCCGAAGTCGGTGTCGCCGATGAACGCTGGATCCGTGCTCATCGTGCCTTTTCGACCCTGAAGATGAAGATCGCGACGACACCGATCCTGCGGCACTTCGATCGCGATCGGACTCCGGTCGTGATTGTGTATGCCAGTGACTGGGCGATCTCGGCCGCATTGATGCAGGAGCACGACCAGATCTATCATCCCGTAACTTTCGCCAGTCGAACGCTGAAGTCGAATGAACTGAATTGCAGTGTGGTGGAGAAAGAAGTGCTGGCGCTGTTACGGATCCTGGACCTGAACTATAACATGCTGGTTGGACGATCCATCCGGGTCTTGACCCGACACTCGACGTTGGCGTGGCTGTTCCGATCACCCGGTCTTCAAGGCCGATTGGGCCAGTGGGCTGCACTCCTATCGCCCTGGACACTGGAGATCACGAAGTGCACTAAGGGAGAGGACGAGTTATTGGGGGCGATCGCCGCTAGTATTACGCCTCGATCGGATCTGGACGACGCGTTGATCGCGATCGCGCCGAAGGAAGAACCCCGGCGGAAGATTCAAGCCCCGATCCCGACGGTGCGTGCGGACGAAAAGCTGCTGGTGATGAGTTTCATGGATCCGCCCGCGTCAAGCGAGGCGGGGGCGCGTACAGTGCAATCTTGTGAAAGTTACCCGAATGGAGTGTAGTGAAGGCTCGATCCGGCTATGCCGAAGGGCTGACTGTTAACGAGGCGGAGTATCATGGTCTGTTGTTGGGTTTCGACCTCCTGGACGGCATAGATCGAGGCAGGTTAGTGGTCTGCGGTGACTCCAACCTGGTGATCCGACAAGTACGGGGCGAGATTGACTGCAAAACACCTAAGCTGACATTGTTGAAGCAGAAGATGCTGGATCAGCTACGGAACTGGCCAGATCACGAGCTGTTACAAGTGAAACGAGACTGGAACGGAAGTGCGGACAGCCTGGCCAGTGCAGCACTCCAACGTGAAGGGGGCGCCGTCGTCGAGGAGGACGCCGCTCATGGGGATCTAGTGACACTGAACCGACTTGATGAGATCCTGGTCGTCCGGTCGGATGAGTCGATCGCCCGACTACCGCCGATGACAACCCGATCGGGCACCAGATCACGGCCGAACCCGACCGTCATGCAGGAGGAGTTCGTGCGAGGGTTGCGGATCGATCGGATTCGTCGAGCACAGGATGAAGAAACGTGGATCGCGGGTATGAAGAAATATCTGAGGGGAGATGTGGCTGATCTGACACAGGATGAGGCCCGATCCTATGGCAACCTCGCAGCGGACTACGAGATCGACGGTGATAATCTGCTGTTCTATTGCCCACCCTCCAAGCGATCGGATGCAGATCGAGATGGACTGATGAGACTGGTGGCACCGCCGGAGACGCTGCATCAAGACATCTTGCATCACTATCACTCCACTCTGGAAGGTGGACACCAAGGGATCGGGCGTACATACCAGCGGATCCGCGATCACTTTCACTGGAGAGGTCTCTTCAGAAGTGTGCAGAAGTACGTCGGCGAATGTGCCAACTGCGAGACCGGCAAAGGACGACCCACGATCAGGGGCGAGTCGCCGGGAAACATCCAGGCGACATACCCGTTCCAGATCATAGCGATGGATCACATACCTTCGCCCAAGTCGTACAAGGGTAATACGGAGCTGTTGATCTGGGTCGATCTGTTCACGGGATACGTGATCGCGAAGGCCAGTAACTCCAGAACAGCGCGGACAATCGCGGAGTCCTACGAAGAGTGTGTTTTCAGACGATTCGGTGCCAGCGAAGTGATCCGGCACGACCGTGAGCCGGGGTTCATGTCGGACTTCTTTCGATCCTTCAACCGGATCCTGGGTCAACGAAAACGTGCAACGATGGCATATTGGCCGCAAGCGAATGGAACCGCCGAACGCATCATGCAAACAGCAACTCGCGCTCTGAAGATGTATGTGCACGATCTGGATCAGCGCGATTGGGACGATTACGCGGAGCGTCTCACCTTCGCACTTAACATTGCCCAAGATCGGATCCGAGGAGAAACGCCATTTTACTTGGTACATGGCTGGGATCCGAGATCCACACTCGAAGCCACAATCCCGGTAGGCAGTACTCGCCGCCAGGATCGGGATCCACGGCGGTGGAGATACCGGATCCAACGCTATTATGAGCAGGCACGGGCAGAAGTCTACACGCGACTGCAGGGGGCGATCTCAGATCGGGCAGACCGGCACAACGAAGAGATCCATCCGCACCAGATTGAGGTAGGATCCAGGGTCTGGCTGTATCTGGACCGGGTGAAGGAAGGGTATGCTCGCAAATTGGCCCATATGTGGCACGGACCATTCCGTATAGCGGAGAAGATCGGAGAACACGCTGTGCGGATCGAGACTCCAGGCACAGAGTATCGGCTGTTCCATGTGATGCATGTGTCCAAATTGAAGCTTGCGAGGAGTTTTCTGGATCGACCCCAGATCCAGTTGACTGAAGGCACTACAGATCGATTTGATTTTGATGAAGCACTGCTGCCAGAGGACAGTTGGATCCAGGATCTGGATGAAAACGAGTACGAGGTGGAGAAAATTACTGACATCTGGACTGGAAAGCGTACTCGTTACGGCCGGATCCACCGTGAATTCCTGGTACACTGGCGTGGATATGAAGATCCATCCTGGGTGGACAAGGCGGATCTGAACTGTGGAGCCATACTGCATGAGTTTTTGCGGGGGCGCTCCAACCGGAACCGGTTTGGGGTAATGTAGTTTCACGAGGAGGTTGAGACTGAGATCCCCAAGAGCGAGTTGGTCGCTCTGTGGAGGATTTTGACGACGAATCTGCAAGGTGGTTGCAGATGGGTGGATTGGGAACTCTGCATATGTACATGTGAGAATCAGGCTGATCAAGCGTAACGTCTGAACAAGGTAAGAAGAGTTTGGATCTTGATCGGGGTGTGAGTTTGGATCTGGATTCCAGCGAGAGTCTGGATCTGGATCGAAGTGCGCATGGGGATCAAGACCACGTGGCCGCCTCAACACGAGGCGACCGAGGGGCTTCGGAAAGGTGGATTGGGAGGGAAGCAGAACTGGCAAGATGGAGATTAACGACGACAAGTTGAGTGTATTACCACTTATCTCGGCATGCAGGGGCAGATCCAGTGTCCGTATAAACCTTGCTCAGCTGTAGAGATATCTGAACTTGGACGTGCTTGAAAGTAGACGCTCTGGATCCAACTCTTACTGATCGCCGACAGCACGAATATTGAAGAACTTGGTAGGGAGGCGCGCGATGTTGCGCGACGGATGATACTGGGGAGTGTCGCGATAGTGATTGCGCCATGGATCTTGGCGGTTGCACTCAACCAGTGCCTCGAGGAGATCCGCCGGCTCTCGACGATTCAGGTTGGGATCTGCCAAGTTGGCCTGGTGAGAGGCCATCCCGGGGTACCACGTGACGGACTCCACGCGCTTGGGTAAGTGCAGGAAATGGGGATCCAGCAGGATCTCCAAGTCGCACCACCCTTCCCGCAGGACGGTGATCAGTAGCTCGAGAAACTGTTTCCAAGCTTGACCAGCATATGAGCGACAATTACTGCGTTCCTTCTGAAATACCAACAGCCACGGATGCTTCCTGGCCATCGCGTCCGGCATCGGAAAGTGGTGTGTCGACTCCCAAAAGGCCATCAAGTGGGTGTCGTCGAAGCCACTGTATTCGCGAATCAGGATTTTGAGTCGGCCGCCCACATTCATCTCGAAAGAACGAGGATCTTCTGAATTCTCAAACACACTCCATGGATGGGCCCTCAGAAGTGCCCGAAAATTGGCCTCCGTGATGAGCCCGGAGCAATAATCGCGATGACTCACTCTCGATCGGCGACTGCCGGGAGCCGCGAATGGAAGCAGCCAACCAGGAGCAGTGGGCAAAATCGAGAACAACACGTCGATCAGCATAGTCGCCATGGCCACATCATTTAAGTGATCCACCTGCCAAGGTTGGCAGTCGGTCGGCACCAACGCATGTGCGTTCTCGCGACCGGGGATACAGTCCGCGTCAGGTGCAAACGGAACTACAGGAGCCAGAAGATCTTGCACCGGCGGTCGACGGGCACGAGCTGGGGGAAGATTTCGTGGATCGGGATCCTGTGGAGGAGTTGGATCGGGATCTTCATGCGGATCCGATCCATCACCATTGTCCGGAGACCCGCCAGCACGCGATGACGGCCGGCGACGAGGAGAGGCGTGTTGTCGCCGTCTCTCTTCGGATCGTGACTGGGACAGCGCCTCCAGAGTTCGAAGAGATCATATGCCATGGCTTCAGTCTCTTCATCCTCGCCGCCGTCGTTGTCCTGCTCTTCTAATTCGTCGCCTTCTTCGTCTTCTTCGTGGCCGCCGTCGTCTGGCTCTTCTAATTCGTCGTGATCTTCCTCTTCGTGGTCGTCGCCGTTTCCCTTGTCAACGCGGTCGTCTTCCTGGTCGCTGCCTGCCCCTTTCTGGGAATCTGACAGGCCACCATCGTCGGCGATTTCGCAGGGGGCGAGCGGCCGTCGCCTTGATCCATAGCTTCACGGCTCTCCGATTGCGATGAGAAGATGCGACGCTTAGCTAGCGGAGTTGGATCAGGATCGGGCGTCTCGCGATCCCAATCCCGCTTGGAAGTACTTGATGCTATTTGTTGGTTGGGTGCTGAATCTGAACGGTCTCGATCCGAGGTTTCCGCGGTAGGCTGTTGTTCGGCGGATCCAGGAGGCGCCACACGGATCAAGCTGAGGATATATGCAGGATTCACCACCTCTTCAATCGCGCCGGGCCGAGCATCTGCCAGAACCCCTGTTAAGACCCGTTCCCATCCCCCACAAAAATACTATGGTTCTGAGGTGAATTCATGTTGGCAAGCTATTTTCAGATAATTTTGTGGCTTGATAAGCATCGAGCTCACTCAGACTCCAAACAAACAGGAACATACCCAGGTGGAAGCGTGTTTCTCCGGTAAATGATCGACCTCCAAACCATCCCCACTCATCACAAATATTGTCAAATTTCCGTAATTGGTGGTATTGGCAAGTAGCATTTAAGCTCAAACGGACGGCGAGCTGACCGCGAACTGGAAGAGGCCGTTGGTCTGTAGGCGATGCTACAGAAGAATGTAAGTTTAGGAGCAGTTTTATCATAGGCTATGTTAATAAATTACATACTTAATTTAAGTAAAGCGGCGCCAATATAAATACGTAAGCCCTACCGATCAAGCAAAGTTACAGAGCTAGTCAAAACTTTTTTCACGATTAGTGATATATAATTCTTTCGCTGACATTGGTTTCTAGCTAATTCGTATGCGGACGAACCGTAACACTTTGAATATCGTAGATTGAATCCAAATTAGCACCGGCTATATCAATCCCTAAGATATTTATCTTACTTTCACTATCGTCCCCCACCATACCCATTTTAAATCCTCAAGTCGTCCCCCTATTAATCTAATTGGGGGAATTCCTGCATTTCCCCCAATTAGGGAGGCCTGGGTATGTACATACTTGCACCCGCGCGCCCCAGTTGGCGCCGCGGCGATGAACACCCACCTGTGATATAATTTTCTGCTGGGGAGTTGATGCTGCACAGAGTAAACATTGTGACAAGTCTCCAGTTTTTTGTCTGACGATACAGTACCAATACACTGGTTACAGGTAAGCTTACTGTACAGTGACTGGGGCCAGGGATTGCCAATTGAGGTACATGTCTGTATCGTCAGTCTGTACCATTCAACTACGCGGTCAAGTGGCATTCCACGTTTGTCTTTCAAGACCACAAGGCCCCTCTTTCCAGCGGAATCCCTCTCCACAGTCATGTGCAGTCTATTCTACGTTGCTCTTGCCTTTGCGGCTTTAGCTTGCAGCACCGTCGTCGCAGAGCCCTCGAATCCTGACGTCTCTCCGCTCTCGTCGAAGGTATCTCCTGATTCTGCGGCCAAAAGATCCCTTCGGGTTGCAGGCCAACAAGTTGTCCAGAGCGGCAGGGGGAACGGGTACGGTGGGATATGGAAATCCATCACCCAGAGTACTAACAAGATCGTCCACAAATCGGGTGTCAAACTGAGCGCACTCATCGAGAAGGCCAAGAAGGCGACCGGTAAGAAGTAGCTCGGATGCGGAGAGAGAGTCTGCGACTATCTTCTTTCACTTGCGAAAAGTGATGCATTTCAGGACAAAGCATTCTGGACAACAATCTAGAAATACTAAAAAAAATTAAAGCTTGGCCGTGAGGGAATGTTCGCTGCGTTGAAGCGACCATCCATAATTCATGATCCATGCGACTTTGCATACGGAAATATTTCCCGGGGTATACATTTCGAGTCCTTTGGACCAACAAACGCACCGTACTAGTAGTATAATAGTATTATTAATACTATTTGCAATCTTTTCGGGGGACGAGCTTTACCGAATGGAGAACAAGGTGACGAACACCACCGATTTTGGTGGAGTCTGGCACAACAGCATACTACGCATTTTTGCATGAGGTCGGGCTATGGTTCGCTTATCAAGCTGCCTGAGGTTTATCCAGACGCTGGAGTACTTCAGACCCTCTACATCCTCTTTTTTCCCATTGTCGCAATCCGCCTCGGCCATCCGTCCCAGGCTTTGAAAGTATTATAATACCTCCTGCTTTGTCGAGTGGATACAATTTGTCGGCTAGAGAAGATTGGTAGAAATGATCTTTCAATCGGTAGAATCTCAAATGGGTCTTATACAGAACGGGCCTGGTATTTTATATGAGTTTTTGTACGTTGCCGCAACTCGGAGTTAGTTTTCTTTATGCGGGGGTCTGGGGGTTGCCCCCCCCCCCCAGAATGCCTAGAATGCATGAAACCCGACCACAGATCAGGTCCGTTCTGTATCTGACCGCAACGATAGGTTACCCTTCAATCAATAGAGAGCTGTGCTTTGCCGGCAAGCGTTTGACCAATCATGTCGCACAGACGTTGCTGGAATCAAGTTTCCAAAACGACAAAGAAAACTCTGCATACTACGAGTTACAGCGAGAACGCCCATGTCTTAATCTGCCATATCCACGTTTCACTTGGGCGAGAGACTTTCTCTCCAGACTTTTTTCATCCACATTCTAGCGCCTGAGCGATCTGTTGGAGCATGGTGCTCATATCATGCAAACGAGTACAAACATCTCGCTCTGCTTGCGACCTCAGTTGAAAAATATATTTTTGTAAGAAAAAACAACAATGTGGACATTTTCAGTCCCCCTGCGCCAACCATGATCGTTTCCGATGCGGTTTCTTCGATCAATCCGTGCCAAGATACGGGTTTTCACCATGCTCAGCAGCTTGGTGTAGTTGCTGATCTTTTCTTTTTCAATACTATACGTGGCTTTTGCCGACGCCACGCTGTCGAGCTCGCAGTGACAAACACCTAAAACAATGAGCTTCCAACCCTTGGATCCCACGCATGTATCAACAGCTCCAATGGTCATTGCGTACAGCTTACCAGTAACGGCAGCACCACGAGTAACGCGCGCCCAGGGGTATCTTCTGACGGAAAGCTGCTGCTTGCGCCCGGTGGTGCCGAGGTTAGCGTAGATACTGGCTCCAGCCTGAACGTGAAAGGCCATAACGGCTCGTCGGCGGGTTTGTTCCTAAATACTTCTCTGGGCCACCTAAGAAACAACATTGAGGTTTTTAGTATAGCGAGGTTTTTTCAGGGCTCACATTAATTTGTCAAAAATACGTTAGGGTTAGGTTACTTAGCGCGCGCTAAAACGTCCGGGGGGCACCACACAAACCAAGTTCCCGCCAAGCCCCGAGCACTCAACATCACAATGGGACGTCACCCCAAGCAGCCCAACCTGTCCTCTCAGAAGAAACTCGCCATCTTTCTCCAGCTCTCGAACCTAGTCGTGGGTGGCCGGCTCCCCTTTGGCGCCAAGGCCGCCACCAGCCGTTACTTTTTGTGTCACCGGACACGGTCGCGCGCATATGGGACTTGCGCCACACGCCAGACGTGCTGCTGCAGCCAAATCGCCGCCGATCAAGCGGCATCCACTACCCCGACATCGCCACCAAGGTGGCAGCAGTGCCGTTGCCTCTTCGGCAGAACCAGCGGTCCCTTGCTGCCGCCGTGAAGGTCTCCCGCACCACCCTCCGGCGCTACCTTAAAATGGGGTTATTGCGCCGGAGGGTTTCAACTGTCAAGCCTCGTCTCACGCCTGAGCACAAGAAACGACGTCTGGCATTCGCACTACGCCACGTTCGGCAACCCCCAGGTATGAGCATTTTTTTATTTTGTACAAGCGGTTGGATATATAATAACCTTGTTGCTGTATTATTCTTTTATTTTGTACAGGTCTTAGACGGCCAATTTTCGTCGATATGTACGATGTCATACATATCGACGAAAAGTGGTTCAATATGTATAAAGGATCAACCCACTACTGAAGATCTACCCCACAACACATCGGTCAACAAACGGTATATAGGTAAAGTAATGTTCTTGGCGGCAGTCGCTATGCTTTTTTCCGCCGTAAGTTTTTCGATGGAAAAATAGGCATTTGGCCTGTGGTTGAGCGTGTTCAAGCAAAACGGACTTCGGTTAACCGTTTAGCTGGTACCTGGGAGACTAAAAATGTTTCAATGACTTCGGATGAGTACGAAAATATTTTGGTGACAAAATTATTTCCAGCAATTCGCTCGAAGTGGCCAGGTTTGTCATTATTTTTGTATTTGAGTGTTTATTGTTAAAGCTAACGACATGTACATTAATCCTATTTCATGCAGGAGGCAGAAGTCGGCCAATTCGTGTGCAGCACGACAATGCGAGTCCTCACGCAGCGGCTTCGAGGGCAGCAATTCAACTAGCCGGGCAAGAACGTCCATGGGATATCCGCATGGAGTATCAGCCGCCCAAGTCGCCGAACCTCAATGTTTTAGACCTCTCAGTCTTCTCCGCGATCCAGTCGGTGCAATATCAACAGCCTACCTACAAGGTGGACGCCCTCATTGGGGTAGTACTAGCTGCGTTCGGGCAGTTGCCGAGTCGAACGCTGGACAAAAGCTTCGTAACGCTCCAAAAGGTGATGGAGTGTATCATCAAGGCTGCGGGTGACAACAATTTTCAGCTACCTCGCGTGAGCAAGCTGTACATCAAGAAAGGAATCATACCAAGCTCAATTGCACGTGATTCCACTGTCTACGAAGCCGGCAAGGTAACATTAAAACAGCTGCAATAAAATCTAAAATAACTCGCCCCCATCAACTGTTTAATCCTTGGTTTAATTCGGAGCCCACCTTGATTGGTTGAAATTGGAGCGCGTTAAATGTTTTTCGTGACATATCTACTTATCAGGGTAAAAGACCTCACTTCTTTAGGCGCCTGTACGATGCTATCCCTACCTCGCCAGCGTTCAGATAAGCGTTGAATACAGTCGCCCAGTCGTGTAGATTGACCACGTATGCGCTTTGTCTATTATCGCCAAATATCGACGAAGATGCGCAAAAAACCTTATTCACTGCGTATGAGCGTGTTCAAAGTTAGTGTTATTTCGCTCAAATCGCTTGTTATT